AACTCCTAATCCCGAAAAGGCCGGTAACGCACTTGTAATGCCTCTGGTGTTCCAGGTGTCCATGGGCGACACCGATTGCTTACCATCAGGTTATCCGTCTGCTCGCTTTATGCCAAAATAAAAAGAAATATGTGATTTTGAAATACAATTAGTATGATACATTACATGACATTGTAACATCGGTACAAGTTACGTTACATAACATGAGGATAAACACTAAAATATATATAAAATAAATATTTGCACTGAACATAAAACAAACGATCATAAATCGCTTAGCTGGTGTTTATACATCGTTTTCCAAACTAAAATAAACTTCGCTTTTTATTACCAACACAAGAATAAATTACAAACACATATTATTTAGTATTTGTCGCATTAAAATAATAACTAGCTTTTACCCGCGGCTTCGCTCGCATCACAAAAGGATAAAAAGTAGCCTATGTGACATATACCAATACATCCAGCGCCATCTATACCAATACAAAGCAATCGGTTTAGTAATTACGGCGTGAAAGCGGAACAAACAAACAAACAAACTCACATTCCGATTTATAATACTATACTAGTAAGATTTATCTATGTGGTTTTTGGTTTCGCTCATCAATTTCGGTCGCGTTCATTCAGAATTTTGCTAATTAACTCAGCATTGATTTTAACTGTTGTGCGGTTGGTGCGTTGACCCCAAAGGTATCGGCTTCGATTCTCATATCGGGCAAAGAATGATAAGGTTTCGGGTTTTCGGATGACATGGAGAAACGTTGATTTTAAAAACATTTAATTATGAGTATCTCTTCTTACCTCTTCAGGGATTAAAAGTCTTAATACTAAGAAGGTACCTATGTAATTTAAAATTACTGCAAGACAGTCGAGTTATACCACATAATCAATGGAGAGAAGACTATAACGTCACGTGCTATATTAAATTTTAAAGCGATTAAATACACAATAATCTCCCGTATATTCTGACCTCTAGGTTTTGTCAATCATTCAACTGTTAAGCACACAGGCTGCAACTAGATTTGTCAGCACCAAGTTGAAGTGTGCACATTGAAGCACTGTGCCTTCTAGTTGGAACGTATACTGAGTTCTAACCACTGGTTCTATATGCTTATAAAAAAGTTGGGTACAAGGAGTACCCCAAAAAACTTATAACATTCTCAGATTTGTTATTTTGTACATCACATGATTTATTGAAGAATTTTGACAATTTCAAATAGGTAATTGTTTAATGTATCTAGTTACTGGTTTAGGATTATAAATGAAATAATAAGGTACATACCTACCAATTTTTTCCCCGGAATTTATCCGTTCAGAATTTTGAAAACATTTCTTGCTGGGTTATTTTTTGTACTTTAAAAGGGTATACTAAAATGCGAATTACATGATAAAACCCTACGCTGGTTACTGGTTAGGCTCGATAAAAATCGTTCTATTTTATTTTACTTGAAATATAAAAGCAATTTGAGATCCTGTATTTTAACACACTATTTGATAAATTCAGTATACCTAATAGATACTTTTCAACGTCACCGTAGCTAGTGGTTTTGAAATGTAATCCGAACAATTTTTTCTATAAAAATATTCAGAATCTAAAATATTGGACAACCGAACTACATTTTATATCTGAAAAACCTAAAAATTGTGTACAAAATTTTACTTTTTTATACTATTTGCCTTCTCTCAAACAGTAACGATGCTACAACTTAACAAAAAGAGAGCTAGGATAGTTTTTAGGCAAGTTTTTAGCTCTTTTTTCACTTACTAAAGGACGAACTCGTTATTTCTGATGAAGTCTTTCCCCGTTGAATTTAAAATTTAGGTTCTTTATTTTCTAGACGAATTAAATGCATGAAATATTATATCAAATTTGTATTGAGGTTAAGATCTTTTTAGCATAGGTATCATACTTTTGACATGATTGTAAACTGCATGTAATAAATATTAACACGTTAAACGGCATGGGGGTCACCGGTGACCGGCGTTAGCAGAGGATTTACCTCCAACAGTTTTTTATTGGCAGTCAAAGCCTTAAGTTATTGGTTTTCCTAAAAATCTCAGTAACAACTTGTAGTCCAAAATTAGACAGTATATGGCTCGCCCCAATAGCCTTTATATTATAATTTTATTGGCACCCGTCTTAAAAATTAAATATCGTATATTCAAGATTTGTGTTAATACGAACATATCACAAATAGATCTCGTGTCATCTTATTCGAAAAGTCTACTTTTTATACCTATCAAACCTAAAGTTTAGTGGTTTATCGGAAAACTTGGCTAGGTCACAAAAAATAACCTCATTAGCAAAACCTAGATAATCTAAGCTTAAAGACGTCAGGTTTTGCTTCAGCCCTGAATAATTTACTGGACGATAATTTATTAGTTTTTGACTTAGCTGACTTATTGAGATTAGATTTTAAGAAACTTCTTGTTACAGATAGCATAGTTAGTATAAATATCTCTTCGGGTAGGTATTGAAGGGATCTTGGTAGGTAATTTGTTGGAGAAAAATCTTTACATTTTTTACTTTTTTATACAATTATGAAATACAAGGTGTAAGGTTACGGTCTGCCGCGGACGATTACCGGGGGTCCGGCTCGAAGTGCAGGAGAAGGGACGGGGTTGGTTTTGGTCAGTAAGAGTCTGACACTCCCTCCCGCCTCACCCAGGCGGGAGCAGTAATTCGATGATTTTCCACCCTTAAAAAAAAGTATTGTTTATACAACTCCTAGGGGATGTGATATAGACGTTTTAACTTTATTTATTTTAACCCGGTTATTTATATTGACCACGTTAGTTTCGACCCGTTTAGTCCCCAAAGTAACTTGTAGTCCTAGTATTAGTAAATTCGTGACATTTATCGGCATTAGTCTTCAGGGATCGAGTTTTAGTTTCTTTCGAGTTTGGACGTTGATGTATTAGTTTAGTATTTTTACGACTAAAAAATTGTTCGTAACTTTTGATGTAAGGGTGCTATTTGCTGGGTAGCGACAGAAAACTTTTGGTAGGAGTTTAGGCTTGCTAGATAAATGGTCCCAAGTCTTGAGTAAGGAATATAAAAATTAATGGAAAAGTCATTAATTCCATTAATTTATTTATTTATCATTATATCATAAAGGTAAGGTTATTCTTATAATCAACAGGCCCCACAAAACCGTTGCAATTGTTTGATTGCGGGGTCATCAGACTAGTCTCTAGATGTTACAATTAAATATAGGTACTTAAAAATAAATATTTATATTTTCTGTAACTTACACTTATATAGAACTTAAGACATTTTCAACCTATGAGAATTTGTTTTTATTTATTTATTTTTTGAGGGGGTAAAATCGTTCAATGACTTCTCCCGCACGGGTGAGGTGAGAGGGAGTGTCAGACTCTTATTGACTAAAAACCATCCCGTTCCTACTCCTGCACTTCGACCCGGAGCCCCGGTAACCCATTAAGTCTTTCGCGGCTTCGTACACGGATGAGGCCCCACAGGGCGGATGCCGATAGTTCTGCTGCCGGTCTGACAGCTCCTTGAGGCGCGCGCAGAACGCGACGCGCCGTACGCTCGGGCCTGGTTCTGGTCGGGCGGCGAGTCATCCGTGCTCGCCGTCACTCGACCAACGAGGCAGGCAACGAGGCATAAAATACATAGGTAATACATAAATATATATCGACAAAGACCTAGACCTAGCGTTGCAGCGTAGTAGACCTAGTAGACCTAGCATTATTCTACTTGCTACTATCGTACTTCCTACTAAGATTCCTACAAATAGCTTCACTTTTAATTTTTTGCTTGTTGACGTTCAAAAGTGCCATTCAGGCCTAATTGAAATAAATGATTTTGACTTTTGACTTTTGATTAATAAATGCGAAAGTTTGTGAGGATTACTGAGGATGTATGTATGTGTGTGTGTGTGTTTTTTGGATTTGGAACAGGCATAGATGATGGTATTGAATAACACATAGGCTAATTTATTTCCACGGGCACGCGAGCGAAGCCGCTGGCAGAAGCTAGCAAACAATAATATAGAATACTAGCTTCTGCCCGCGACTTCGTACGCGCAATCCCATTTTCCCCCGTTCCCGTTCGTGATTTTCGGTAAAAAGCAAAAAAAAGTATTCTATAAAAAGTATCCTATGTCCGTCTCCTGGTTCTAAGCTACCTCCCTGCCAATTTTCATCCAAATCGATTGAGGCGTTCTTGAGTTATAAATAGTGTAACTAACACGACTTTCTTTTATATATATAGATTTCATAAAACAAACAAACAAATAAATAAGAGTATCAAATAACATTCTATAACCAAATAAAATCAATAACAATGACTTAGCAACCATTCATAAATTGCTTCGAGAATTGTACCTTACAGAAAATACGTCGAATCGATCCCATCTCATTATCGTGTACCGAGAAATACTGGAAACGTTCTAGAAGTTGTCAACAATCTGAATGCCACTTCAATGGGTCTTGAGCGAAACTTTTCGAGAGCGATGTAAAACTTGTCCTTAGTAATAAACTGGCGTGTCTATAAAATTGGAACTGTCACAGTCTTGACACTTTTAGCGAAACAGATTTTAGGTCCTTGGTTAATTTTGTAGATACTATTGTTTGTGTGTTTTATTGTTTTTGTCTTGATTGAGGTCGTGCTGAAGGTTAGTGTACTGACCGATTACTCTTATCACATGAAATTTAATCATCGGTAATATTTCCGAACCGATATAACCTTCAACCCTTCAACAAAAGAGAGTATTCCTTTTTAAAAGGCCGCCTTCAACGAACTTTTGTCTCCTCTGGTGTTGCGGGTGTCCATGAGCAGCGGTGATCGTCTGCTCGTTTGCCTCCTATTCAAAAAAAAAAAAAAAATAGACAGTCGTGTTAGTTAAGTACTATATTTATAACTCAAGAACGGCTAAATCGATTTGGCTGAATATTGGTGGGGAGGTAGCTTAGAACCAAGGATACTTTAGAAGACGTAGGATACTTTTTATCTAACCAAATATTCTTTACAGATAAACAAAGTGACATTTGCCCCACTGGTGGTGTCGACCCTATTCATCCTCCTGACGTCACTACTGGCCCACTGCGCGAGGAGAGTGGTGCAGAAGGTGGTGAAGGAACCCTTCGTCCGGTTGCTGTTCGAGGAGGCTATAGCTGCTGCTGAACTATGCGGATGCTGCTTCGAACTTATTGTGGGTGAGTGAGAAGCCTTGATTATTACCGCTGATCTACCACGAACCACGATACATGTTTATCATTTTTATTTCGTTTCGTTTCAAAAGTACCAAATTAATATTTTCATTTATATTATTTACTAGCTGACCCGGCGAACTACGTACCGCCAAAATTATTTTTCTCACCTTTTAAACCTTCCCTAGACTCCCACGAACAATTTAAGACCAAAATTAGCCAAATCGGTTCAGTTGTTCTCGAGTTTTAGCGAGACTAACGAACGGAAGTTCATTTTTATTTATATAGATTTTCATTCAATAAATTCTTTGTGTGATCCACAGATTGTTGTTTCGGGTCTGTGTGTTATGTGTATGTGAACTTGTATGTTTGTAAACGCATCCACGACAGGAGAAAATCCAAGTGTGGGGCAACGTATACTTATAAAAGAAAAAAAATATATAATATAATTGAAAATAAATGCTTTGACTTTGACTTTACGTTATTTCAGAACAGCTGCGATCTTTAGTTGCTGTCCAACCTTTACGTTCCCAAGCTCAATATACGGTGCTATAGTGCCTTATTTTTGAAATACGAAAAACTACTCATTGTTTCCTTGGCCCGAGAAACCCTCTTGTTACGTTTTTGCAAGTCGCTTCCAACCAACTGATCTGGTAGTCGCTCAGGGAGGCCTTATTTGAGCAGTGGACGTATTCTGGCTGATATATTTATTGATAATGATTTAATGAATAATAATTATGTTTATAATGATGTTCCAGTGGCTGATAACTTTGGCGTAGCGACGTATGCGATATTCCTGTTCGCACTGACAATCTGGTGGTCACTTAACTGGGGAGATGCTACAGCTTGTCCTTATACGCACATCGAAGATGTTATTGAAGGTAAAATTGTTTCCTATTTTCTGATTTTTTAGTTAATTCGTAGTTTTAGAAGTAATAGATCTGATAATAATAATGGACTGCCTCGTTGGCCGAGTGGTCGCAAATGCGACTGCAGAACAAGGGGTCTCGGGTTCGATTCCCGAGGTCGAGCAAAGTATTGCTGGGTTTTTTCAAAAAAACTTAGTAGTAGCACGGAGTCTGGAATAGTACCCGGTATATAGCAATAGGCTAACCCCCTATTACATGGGACTCATAACATAAATAGTAAAAAGTGGGTGTTACATAGTACAGTGGCATTAAGTGCCGTAATGTGCACCTCTGCCTCCCCTTCGGGGATAAAAGGCGTGATGTTATATGGATCTGATTATGTCCTATAACTGCGACCAGTTATCAATGTGATAGGAACTAGCATCCATCAAACTTTTGAGGGCACGGTTGGCGCGGTAGTTGGGCAGCTGGCTAATTCCCGCACCGAACAAGTCTTTGTGTGATCCACAGACTATTGTTCCGGGTCTGGGTGTCATGTGTATGTGAACTTGTATGTTTGTAAACGCACCCACGACACGGGAGAAAATCCTGGTGTGTCAAAACCAATGTCAATTTGGGGATTATGGTCTCTTTAGTAGATATATTAAGATTCAGCAGCGTAGGCATTGCGATTGATAACAAATATGATAGGAAATATAGAAGAAAATAAAAGATGAGATCATAATTTTTTGCGGTGGTCTCAAAATAACTCCAAATCAATTCTATTTTCTACATATTCCAGGCAAGGGTGACATCCGCAAGGCGCTTCTTAAAACCTGGGCTGAGCTGACCGGTGGTATCCTGGTCTTCAAATATGTGCAGATGTACTGGGCGCTGGAGATCTCTGACACCCACAAGGATAAGGCATTCGAAGACTGCAAGGCTGACTTACAGGTACATTGATGGTTTTGTAATGGGTATTTGTAATATAAACCAGCAATACGTTTTACGTTTTTCAATATTGTTTTTGTGATGTCTTAGTTTTGTTGCGTATTTTGTAGGTACTTAGATTCGTCTTTGACGCATTTGACTTTAATTCAGAGAAGTTAATATTTTTGTTCTTTAGTGGGTGAAATCATACAATTTCGTCTCCCGTCTTGGGTGAGGTTAGACAGAGTGTCAGGCTCTTATTGACTAAAAACTATTCTGTTCGTACTCGAGTACGAGTAACTCGAGTCCTGGTAACCCGGTTATCCGCAGCTCCGGATAGTACAAATAGATTAACTCTACACTGAATGTGGTGTTTTTACAGTTAGACAGCTCTTTGTTCTATCCACTGTTTTACGCAAACATCCGACGGTAATATTGGAAAAGAATGACACAAGAAAACGCAGACGTAACAAAATATGCCCAACCCACGTATGTCGTACGACCGTTGCCCAGCGACATTATAATGTCCTCTCTAGTCATATTTACAACAAGGTCCATAATGTTTGTGACATTGTTTCATTGTGCCGGAGGGGGTGTAAGGCAAGGGTTCATGAATGGCATTTAACGTTAAATTACGACCAGACGGAAGAGCTTATTAAGATTTCTACTCTTTGACACACGTTTATACACACACCTAAACACTACACATACATTCACACTACAC